CTGAATACTTTCCGTACCCACTGTACACATGGGCATTTGTGCAGATGTATTGAAAATGCAAGTATGAGTATGTCAAAGCCTTTTTCTTTATGGTGTGTGTGTGTTCACCAAGGCATATAGCGTCTCTAGTCAGCCACTTAAAACAATAAGACCACTGGACTAAAAAAATGTGCAGGTTGCCCCAAGGGATACAAAAGCAATTCCAAATGATGCAGTATTGGGTCTGAAGTTCGGTGCGAGCTGAAGGCCAGATACTGATGATTATTAATGATGTTCACATAGAACTATACTGTACAGGCTGCCCCCGGTTAATAGAGCACAGCAAACCAACCCATGAATGGCTTTGTTGGCATTTTCTGTTGCGTTGCTGTGTCCATGCATGTTGTTAACTCGATGAATGTATCAAATTCTTATCACTGATTATGTGTTAGAGTTGCATGCTTGCTTTAACTTATTACAAGCAAAATTCAAACATGTCAAAACATGGTGATAACACAGTCTGACCACTCCACAAAATGGCAAGCAATCAAGATACAGCAAATGAACACTTGGTTACTCACAACAGGAAAGAGGGCCAGAGCTAAGTGTGGAGGGGGAAGAAATGAAATGCTACACAAATACAGTCTGATGTGAGAATGTGCTCCCTCCAAGCTCCACAACTATATATGAATCTACCATATGCTCTAATTTGGCTTCCATCTATACAGACGTGCAAAATATCAAAAAACAAACACACGAAACACACGCGCGCATACACACAAAAAGATGTAATGGGCTTGGCCTCCTGCGAACCTGTCTACCCTCAGAACCAAGCCTAGCTTCTGTTCAAATTCAGTTTAGGTTGTTGGCCTTCATGATAGCAGGCTGTCTGTTGACATATGTGGCCCAGTAGCCCAAGTTAAAGATGAAGAACAGAATTGGGAAAATGATGCGTGATATCTTGTCCACTTTGCTGACACGGTTGTAGGACTTCTTGGCCTCCGTGTAGGGGTCATCCATTTTATGCAAGTAGGGGTGTTTGGCCGATGCTCCAGCAGCACTTTTGGAAATGGTTGTTAAACCTTGGTCTTTGGCTACATTGATGCCGTAGGTGGTTCCGACAATGTTGAAGGTGTTGTTTGCCTTTTTGGACAAAGTCGCATATTCTCTTCTCTGAAAAGGAAGAAGTAGAGGCTGTCAGCAGCAATGCATGAGACTTAACAATACTTCCATTTGAACTCATAAAGAGGAAATAGAAGCAACATCACGAGACACGACACACACAAAAACAAAACAAAAGCCTAACCATATCTTTAATCCTGGCCATGTTAGCCTGAAACGGTTCCTGGAAAGAAAAGTAGAAAAGAAAAAGTTTACCAATTATATTAAAATTACATACTCTATTCATCACTATCTAGCTGGAACTATACTTTTGAACAATTTACACTAATGTCAATTCAAATCTGCATTGCAGAAAAGAGGTCAAGATGAAAATTCATGATCAGGCTGGTAAAATTCTTGAGTGTGTGTGAATAGGGACAACTAACTGTTTTGTGTATAATTGCAGAACCAGGCCCGACCGGCGTCTGATACTGCCTCCAAGAGCAGTAGCAGCACAGAGCAGGATTAGAAACAAAGCAAAATAGCAGTGCCTGAAAACATGTCTGACAAAGTGAGAGCAGCCGGGCCTCTTCAGGCAAACAGCTTGCAATAAAACAAACATGACAAAGGCTGTGTGACATAAAGCTGGCTAGAGAAGCTGGCTTCTTCCTACTAATGGAGAGAAATCCAACTGGCTTTTATACTGAAACTGCACAGGGAAACACAATTTCATTTATTTAGGAGAGTTTACTCAACTAAACTTACATCACCAGAGGATCCTGACAGTCTAAAGGAATACAGTGCAGTACATGTGAAGTAAATGTGAGAACAACTATGGCACCAAGATAGATCACCAGGCAGATTCAGAGTATTCCGTGTGGCATGGAGTTTTTGAGTCTGTACTGGGAGGATTTTCTTCACACCATTCACCCCCACTGTGGCAAAACTGAAGTGGCATGTGTAATGAAACCGAGTTTTACCTTCAGTGATCCCATTTTTAACTGTTTCTTTAAGCCTGGCTTTAATTTCTGCTCTACTTTTTCAGCTTCCCCCCTTTCCCTTCACTCCACTTTATTAATTAGCATAACTAATGTCCCCTTTTCCCCCTCCTCCAGAAAGCTTCACGGTGGATCTCTTTCAAACAACTCATCAACAAAATGGTTTTTTTTTTGGTCTTCAGTATTCACATATACTGAAATGAACACATAGACACGGTTTTTACCTGCCACAATGATGTGCTGTATGTTCGGTCAGTGTCTGAACTAGACAAACGTGCATCAAATTCACAGCTGTTGAAAGTCAAGCATGGCAAATGTTGAGACACTGCCTGACCAGGTCTATCTTAAGTCGATTAGCACAGGGTGTGAAAGAGTCACACTGATACCACCTGACTAACCAGATACTTTCCAGTGATCCCAGTTCCTCCACATCGAACCCCATCACCAGCCTACTCTATCACAGTGAAGGTTATGACATTAATTGTAGCCCCCTAAACTCTTCAGCCCTTGGCATTAGGGATGTTCTGTGCTCAGTAAACCGGCAAACGAGCCAAGCAAAGTAATTTTCTATTGCTATTTCGATGGGCAGTCTTCTGCAGTAATTTATCCGGTCTTAATATTGGGGAAACCACATGTGGCATTGGGATGTGTGTGTTTAATCTGCCTAATGTGACACAGCACATAATTTACTTCTGGCCAAAGATTCTTGCTCATTATTTATAGCCATTTGGCTACCTGCTGTCTTCAGTTCCTTTAATGGCACATTGTTTAAAGATAACACAACTAAAGTAACTTTGCTAGATGTATAAAAACTGTTACACTGCAGCTGTCAGTGTCCAGTGATGATGGCGCTAATATGCAATAAAAGCAAAAGTTAGGATGGTTAGTCAGATATTTCATTAAAAGCATACAAGATGCTTCCAGAAAAGCAAGCTACATGTTTAGCCACCATAATACACCAAACCTCCAGGTTTAAAAAAATGTTTTGCTAGCAAAGCTGTTGCAACTTCCCCTTTTGTTCCTGCAGCAGTAGAGTCATGCTCAGCTCTACTGAAATATGACTGCTAGGAATGAAAATGACAGGCTGTCTCCAGCATTTTCTAACAAACTCTTTCATTCAAATGTCTATAGATGTAGTCATTTTTGTGCTGCAGGTGTATCTGCACAAAATTATGAGGCATAGATGTGAAGCTGTGATCATTTCTTGGCTCCATCAGTGAAGCCCATCGCACAATAAGCCAGTGTTCCTGCCTCCACTGATGAAACCACCAGCACACAATATCTGACACAGCGGTGTCCAATCATATATCATGGAGTACTGAGAATATGTAGGCTTTCATTCCACCCAAACTCCCTGGCGGCCGATTTCTGTAATAAGCACACCTTCAGCTGGTGTGAGGAGAGCTAATTAGGTAGATCGCTTGTCAAACAAAATGTTAGGTAACAGAAAAGGAAAATGTCTCGGAAGCTCCATAACAAGCAAAGTAAATTAGTGCACATTGACTTTTCTAGAGCTCACCATTTCAAAAGGAGCCTGGGGGTGATGAACTCATTGTTTAGTCCTGGTAAGAGTGTCTGTAGAAACCCTGCTTCTGATGATTGGAGGCTGTATCTTCAAAAGGACTTGCTGAGCTAAAACCTCCTCCTTATAAGTTGTGTGTGTGTGTTAAAAAAATTGAAGTGTGTGTGTTGTCAAATCCCTTTGCTTTCCAGTGGCTCATTCTAATGGGGTGTGTGATGGAAGTGCCACGTCTTCCTCTGTGACCCCATTCTTTTTTATCTATCATGACAACTGCATGCTCAGCACAGCCCCCAAGGACATAGCCCATGCTACCGCTAGTAAGATGAGGCATCAAAAGGACGGGAAAAAAACAGAGAGAGAGAGAGAGAGTGCCCCCCCCCACACACACTCTGCTGGAGTGTACCCCTGCAAATTATCTCCACCAACTGAAGAGTTCTGTGGTAGCAATATGCATTTGTGTCAGTCATTCACAGGACCAACTGTCAAGCTATATGTAGTGATTGTGTCAAATATTCTTCTTCTTCTGCTTTTGGCTGTTCCCTTTAGGGTCGCCACAGCAAATCACAAGTTACCACCTAACTGACTATTCGCACGTCAAACCTGGCACATGCTAGCACCATGGCAATACTCTAGGAATAGTTAAATTAAATGTGGCTCAGTTGTACATTTAGTAATTTGCCCTATGGCTTGTATTCTTTGTTTTAATGCTGTTTCTGCCTTTTTGAGACTTTTACCTGATCAAACTGAGGAAAAGAAAATATAAAGCAATCAAAGCACAAGTTCTTTTGTTGCATATCAGTTTTTCCACATCTGGAATGCAAATGCATAATAATGTTTGACAGCTCTCTTGCTGTCAGTCTTTGTAAACTCCTGTAAATCAAATTTTCAGCTTTTCTTGACATAATGTGTGAGAATCTGATACAGTAACTGATCTCAGAAAAAACAATTCAATATGAATTACTAGAAGTAAATGATTTTTTTTTGGCAGGAGATAAACTTAGAGCTGTCTTGCCTTATTGTATAATCAGTAACTGGCAGTCAAACCACAGGAGACTGTCAAACCTGAATCTGTCATTCCTGTGACCCACATGAAAATAGGAAAACGCTGCATTTGTTCCTGTCTGAATTGAATGAGTCTGTTTGAAGCAGAGGCTGCAGCTGAATTAATGCAAGAGAAATGAGTATTTAATTCATTCAGCACAGGACGAGGTACTTTAATTTTCAGAGTTCATATTTGTTTAGGCCCTGTAAATGAAACCGCAGTCCATGAATACCGTAGAGTCAAGCACAAAAAAGCTTCTTTGTGCTGAAATGCTCAGTATCCATTTATAGTTGTAATTGCCTACCTTGTCGTAAATTTACTCACCATCTAATACCCTCAAAAAATCCACAATCAGCCCAGACTGTTAACAAATTAAAAATCTGTAAGCTGTGATTTATCTGATTTCATGCTTAAATTAGGGAATGTCTGCCTCAGGTGATTCATTTGAAGTAATGTACACTCACTTTGTAATTAAGGTTTCTATAATGTGCAGACTAGATATGGATGCTATATTTTCTGGTGAGAATGTGCCCACACTGATTTACTGTAGGATGAGACTGGACCATATGCTGCCATCATAAATCAGGGCCAGTGTCTCTGGGAGTTTCCCTCTGTATCTCCTCTCATGGTTCTGGCCCACTGTCCCTGTTCCATTTGGCTGTTAATGAATAATAAAAGCTCTTTATAGTCTGTATAGAGTACTCCAGGCTGTGTTAACGAAGGAACTATCTATTACTTTTTTCAAAGTGCAATCTTCTTTCATTACTGTTGCGGTGTAAAATTAGCAACTTGGACCATTTCTTAAATCAAATCAAAAGATATTGATTGATTAATCAATAATTTAAGCTAAGATAAATTAACCAAGGAAGAGGAAAAACCTTTCTGAAAAAATGTTTTTGTTTTTTAGGATAGCATGTTTCTGATTAAGTGACTGAAACAGCAGCTGTTTCAAAATACCAAACTTTCAAGAATCACTCACCCTTATTTCCATGCCCTCTTTTTTCCCATCCCATGCCCAGCTGCGCTTGGTGAAGTAGTTGACTGTGGCAAACTCAATCAAGGCAGAGAAGACAAAGGCATAGCACACAGCCATGAACCAGTCCATGGCTGTAGCATAAGCCACCTTAGGAAGGGAGTTTCTAGCACTGATGCTCAGAGTGGTCATGGTTAGGACAGTGGTGACGCCTGAGGATGAAATAAAAAAATCAGTAACCTGATTGTTTTTTTCAGGAAACACTTAAGGAAAGTTCATTTTTTACAACTTGAGTGAAATTTTCCAAAGGTGTTCCCATTATGGCTATCACTGATGATACCATTTTACGTACATCTTTGTGGATCTTATGGAAACCAGGAAGCTGTGTGCAGCTTTAAAACAGCATTTACTAAGTTCATGTTCATGAAGGTTTAGAATTCAGGCTCAAATTGTCCAGTTTAGCTCAGTCATGTAAATTGTCCATTGGGATTAAAAGTATACAATTAAGGGCTAAATCCTGCGTTCTGATTTATTCAGCATCAACTCTGCATACACTGCTGAGTGAAATCAGGAAGGACGGCCACACACTGAACCACTAACAAAACTCAAGGGTGCATAAAATAGAAAGTATACTGGGTCAGTGGTTCCAACAGGAACTAGCTTCTCTGTGCAATGAACCATTATAATGGATTGTTGGGGATCTATTTTTGACCGTACTTTCTCTGAACCAGTGTGATGTGTTTCCTGTCACCACTAGATGCCCTTGTAAAGCTGTGTTTACTGGAGTTGTAAGATTAAAAAAAAAATGAAATAGGGCCCAAGTTGTAAAAATTGAAACTTCCTTTACCTAATACACAAAGAATAAGATGCCTCACATTTGCATTCATTCAATGCAAGTCAAGGGTATGATAATATGAAATGGTGATTTTGAATTATAACACAAAGACCACCTGATGTTATTCTTCTGAGGAATTCTTTGGCCAATAAATTTTGAAACCTGTGCAAGACCATTTCATACCTCAGCGTTTGCACGCTGTGTCACTGGAAATTAAATGTGTTTAGCACAGCAGTGGCCCATCCACCTCCGTAAGAGCAATCACTTCATCTGTTCCAGCCTGTCCCATTTGATGATAAATACACAGTAAGATCTTTAAAAATTAATATTGTATTCCAGAACAGGGAGGTCAGCTCATTTCAGTGAGCCATGTGTGAAAAATTAGAATTTGTGACAAAAAGATTGATTGGTAACTGTCCACTGTAAGGACAGTGATTGATTTCCAGCTATTGTATTTAGCATTACCTGACTTGACCAGTTTGGTGTCATGGTGCAAAGACAATAATCTCAGCTTCAACACGGACAAGATGAAGGAGATGACAGTGGACATGAGGAAGGAGAGGAGATCTCATCAGCCACTGTTCATCCGGGGACTCCAAGTTGAGAGCGTGAGCAGCTTCGAATACCTGTGTGTTCACATCAGTGAGGACCTCACCTGGACACATAACACCACACAGCTGGTCAAGAAGGCCCAACGGCTGCTGTACTTCCTGAGGAGGCTGAGGAGGTTTGGCATGTTGCCTAGGATCCTCAGCAACCTCTACAGCTGCATTGTTGAGAGCATCTTGACCAGCTGCATCACTGTCTGGTATGGCAGCACTACTGCTATGGACAGCAAGCGCCTGCAGAGAGTGGTAAAGACTGTGGAGAAGATCACCAGGACTCCACTGCCCTCTCTGCAGAGCATTTACCACCGCAGGGTGCATAGGAAAGCTGCCTCCATCCTCAGACCCCACCCACCCCCAGCACGGACTGTTCACCTCCCTACCAACCTCCGGCCGGCGGCTAAGAAGTGTGAAAATGCAGGACCTCTAGACTGAAAAACTCTGTCTTTCTTAATAAACTGCTGTCAGCTGCCACCAGGAGCTGACAGCTGACAGGAGTTTATTACCAGGAAATACGTCATGTAATGACGTGCTGATGACCTGTACTGTTTACATTCTCAGTTTGCACATGCATAATTGCAGATTGACTATTGACATGCAGCTCCCATGTAGCATACATTCTTTTATTATATTCTTATATATTTTTATTATATTGCTGCATTTGCTGCTTAAAGTGCCTTAGATTTTGTGTTACATATTTTTCACTTGAATTGTGTGCTTCATTTCCAAATCAAATGTCCGTTATTCACCGAACATGTTAGGAGCACTTTCATAAATTTTTGATTTGATTTGATTTGATTTATTCTTTCAAGCATGTAAAGACAGTTGATATGTCAACACACATAATTTTACACATATCCAACAAATGCTAATCCAAAATCAATTTGCTTATACCTAGTACATGCTTGAATGGAGTAGGAAAAAGTCAGACTTATCCAGTCCTACCCCCTGACATCATCTTACCATCATTGGTTTGCAAGCAGTATCTCTACATAAATAATTCTCTTCTACACCACACAAGTAATATACTAAAAAAATATAACAGTGTTAACATTTTTACATAAGTACATTCTTAAATAATTATCTTCTACACCACACAAGTAATGTACTAAAGAATTCTTACAAAGTATTAACATTCATACAGTGGGTACAGAAAGTATTCAGACCCCTTAAATTTTTCACTCTTTGTTATATTGCAGCCATATGCTAAAATCATTTAAGTTCATTTTTTTCCTCATTAATGTACACACAGCACCCCATATTGACAGAAAAACACAGAATTTTTGACATTTTTGCAGATTTATTAAAAAAGAAAAACTGAAATATCACATGGTCATAAGTATTCAGACCCTTTGCTCAGTATTTAGTAGAAGCACCCTTTGGAGCTAATACAGCCATGAGTCTTTTTGGGAATGATGCAACAAGTTTTCACACCTGCATTTGGGGATCCTCTGCCATTCCTCCTTGCAGATCCTCTCCAGTGCTGTCAGGTTGGATGGTAAACGTTGGTGGACAGCCATTTTCAGGTCTCTCCAGAGATGCTCAATGGGGTTTAAGTCAGGGCTCTGGCGGGACCATTCAAGAACAGTCACAGAGTTGTTGTAAAGCCACTCCTTCATTATTTTAGCTGTGTACTTAGGGTCATTG